GGAGATCTCGCAACTGTCGCGAGAAACCATGTTGTTACGATTTTAATCAATTTAAAAGATAATAGTGTATGATTCTCACTCGTATATTCAGAAATGGTCATAAAGTGACTGCACTTATCGAAAATTTTGTCAGTTGATATAAGTAACTCAAATATTGACACGAGCGAACTGGTTTTTTATAATTGACAGTTAAATAACAGTAAATAGTATCTAATTATAGTAGGTGGGAATAGTGCAAATTATTAAATTGTTTTTTTTTTTAAATATTCTTAAAAATCCAAACACATTTCAAATGTATCAATTGTTGTTGATATTTACCGGTTTTATATAAAAATTAACCGAACTTCATAATTACAATTTAAATAAAAATTTCTCGTCACTCAAAGTTTAAAATATTTTGACCTTTTGTTAATCAACCCAATTACTCCTAGATATCGAAAAATTCATGCAACTTCTCCAGCAAATAAAATGCAGCTTTCCGTTACAGTTTTGTTACAAAAATCTGTACATATGTATAATGATTTTACCTTGAAAAGCCGCCGGCACCAATTGTTATAAGCGCATTTCCCCAGGAAGAGTTTCCACCCTTCGAAATCAGTTCCAGTTCTTGTTCGGCCTGTGTCATATCATCAGCCAGCCATGGTCTCTCTTATATCTTGAAGAAAACACTGCATGTATTTACAAAACGTTCATATTAGTTAAGGATAGTCATCTCTAGAGCAGCCATTTGGAGGAGGATCGTCATAAAGATTTGCGCATTTCCAAGTTGACGAATTTGAGATGAAGCATTTGCGATGGTTTTGGAAATTGGCTGGCTTTGGATTCGTATGCAATTTTGGTATGATGCTATCACATCTGGTGCCAGTTGTTTTTTGTAGATATAAAAGGAGCACATGATTGCTCATTACCGGATGACACGAGCATTATTACCGGAACACATTATTTTGAATAAAAATTTTTTATTAAAAACTGTATTCATTAAACAAATCTTTTATAAAATTTCTCTATGAAGTGCATTTTGTAGTATTTTTAAACAAATTTTATTACCGTAAGTTTTGACATATATTTTAATGTTTGAACTTTTGTTCAGAATATTATGCATCAACAAAAGCATAATTAATATGTTGCCTACTGATTTGATATCGCATATTGATTGTTCTACCGAACGAGAAGTTCATACTTTTCGCAGAATATTCGATTTGCATTTTTTTTAAGTTTTAAGTCACTATGAATCGTTACACGCCAAAATGAAACTATCGTGGCTTAAGGCAAATTGCTGAAACTTCAGTACCGTAATTTATAATTTTTAAAAGCTCAGAACAGAAAAATTAGATTTTTATTTAAGAATTTTGAATTTTTTTGAACAATTTTGAAAGTTTGAAGAAAATTTTTTTTCCTGAATTGGCAATTTTATGCCGGAGTCGAAATAAAACTGCAATTTAAACGCGAATATAAACGAAAAAGTTCAATCTGCTCACAAGCAAGTTAAAAATTGGTTGTTAGCCAACAAAATTGTACTAACTAATAGAAAAACAGTCCATATCAACTTTACTTCCGGTAGGAGACATATGGAGCTACATAAGGGGGTTTAAATATTTGGGTCTCACTATGAACAGTTTGCTAACCTGGGTGAAGCACATAGATTCGATATGCACTAAGCTCTCAAAATCAATATATGCTATCAGAAGAGTTAGATACATTATAAATGAAGAATGAGCCAGAGAGAGGCTTACTTTGTCATGTTTTACTCTGTGTTTTCATATGGGATATTGGCATGGGGATACTCGGTGCATCTAAGATAATGGACTTACAGAAGAAGGCTGTAAGGGCAAACGGAGGGGTCTCACCTCGGGAGCACTGCAGAACCTTGCTTACAAAATACTGACTGTTACCAGCCTTCCCAGTAAACACTGTGTGATGCCAGCGTCGACAGCAACCTGAAATCCACAAGCGTTCCTTCAGCGCTGTGACACCCATAGATAATCAATGTCGATTTCAGATTGCTACCGACGCTCGGTTTTTACTGGGTTTATAGCTACCAGCAGGCGATTGCGGTTCATGCAGACAGAACAAACCATGTACCGAGAAGTGACGTCCATGATCACAAAACGTGGAACAGGAGTGCTGTTGTACCTCCAAAACTGAATCTGTGTGAATCCTCGCAAAAGGACAGGCTAGGTGTCGTGATTTACAACAGGCCCCAAAGACTCTTTGGCAAAGAGTGGAAATGTAATAGCAGGAATGGTTTCAACGCTGCTGTTTAAATTATTTAATGATTTTTTTAATTAAGTTATTTTCGTTTTTTATTTAATTATAATATTGTGATAAAAATAATTGTATTGACTTAAATTGTAAAGATTCAATTTATATAAAGTATCTATCTATATATATCATGGTTGCGCGATATTATTTTAATTAAATGAAACTTTTTTTTGTTGCGATGACAATTACAAGAAGCGAGTTGATTTCATCGATCGATTGATAGCAAAATCGCCCACAACAAAACTATAATCGCCCACATAGTGGGTTGTCCACCTATAATAAGTTTGTTAAAAGACAAAGATTTCTTTATCGTGTTAATAATATTCGTTAGAAACGTATGGGTCAAAACAATCCATATATGGATTCGGTTAATTGATGCGAATCAATTTTCTAGGCCTAGCCGAGGCGACCAATTCGTCGGTCGAATGCATTTGCATTTGCGGTGGGTGCCGCGTAAACGCTCATTGCATTTTCATCTACGTGATTTATGCATAACACGTTGGGTAGGTGAAACCGGTGGACACATTTAGGGGTGGGCTGACTAATATTGTCAATAATTATTTCACATACAGATGGCTAAACTAGTCTATTGCAGTAATATTGAGTAACTAGTTTAAAGTAACATTTTAACCCTTTCCACTCGCTAATTCCGGAATTAGTATGTATATTTCCGCCGGAGCGGCGGCATCCGAGTGGAAAGAGTTAATAATTGACTTCATCAACCATCGTTATTTGGCACTTATAAACAAATTATCATATTTTAACATCGATTTATATAATGGGTAATTTTTAAAATTCTTTTAAATTAAAAAAAATAAAGTTGTCAAGTCAATGATTCTAATCCTTTCGCTTTGTGCTTAGCCTAGACATTCACATGTCTACCTGTGTGTATGGATGTCGCCTATAGACGACATTCAATGAGTCGACATTTGCTTCAAGATTCTTCACTGAGTTCTAGCAATTATTGAGAACTTAAACTTTCCAGCAATTTGAAATTAAATTTTCCAACCTACATACATACTAGTTTTTCATAATGTTTAAAAACCTAATAAATAAACTTTATATCTTTTTGCCCCTGGGTGTCCCTTTTTATCCCGCCTATAGGGTAAAATGGATCAGGTGACATATGGAAAGTAGCGGGAATCGAACCAGCGAACCCGGGACTAGTTTGTGCCAGCCCACGTTTGGTTGATTGTGATATGTTGAAAATAATAGTGTTCAAAATAAAACTAGTTGGTATTGGTATTTTGCCTTGGGGCAAGTTACATGAACTTCCCGATATGTGTAAATAATCGATTTAATCAATAAAAATAAATTAATTTATGAGTGATTAAAAGTATTCCGAGTGGATGCATTACACATAATTGAAAACGAACGAACACTCTATCGTTATACCAAGTAAATCGTCTAATTTTAATTTTCACAAACGTCAAAAAAACTACTCATTTTCTCAAACTGATGAATTTTTAAAATTTGTCGTAAAGCCGTAATATTTCAGTAAGTTCTATAAGGCCAGGATATATATCGCCAAAAAAAAGTTTCATAAAAATCGGCTTAATTTTTTTTTTCAATAGTTAATTACAAGAAAACTGCTCAATAGATTTTCAACTAAAACTAATCATTATCATTCCCAAATGATATATTTCGAACAGTTTTTCATTTTTGAAAATCGATTCGGTAGTATGAGCTTAAATGAGGACGAAAAGTTTAACACTTTTTTTTAAATTACAAAGAAATGGCTTGGCCGATCGCTGTACAAAACTAAGAAAAAATAATCCACATCAAAATACATCGATTAGCTTTTAAATCATCAGTTCAAACGTTTTTCAAAAAATTCATGTAAATCGTCGAAAAAAAAATTTTAACACCTTATTACAAGAAAACGGCCCGGCCGATCTTTATTAAAAACTAGTCAGATCGATTCCCAACCAATATGTTTCGAACAGTTTTTGAATTTTCAAAATCGATTCAGAATTGCGGGCTAAAACGTGGACGAAAATTTTTTCACTTTTCTGCGATTTACAAAGAAACTGCTCGGCCAATCGTCGCACTTAGAAACGCTAGTCCTCATCGAGATACATAAAATGGCTTTTAAATTTTTGAAATCGGTCCAGCCGTTTTTGAGAAAACGACGATTTACGGCAAAAAATCTGTTCACACACACACACATACTTTCTCCAAATTTGGTCTCATTCGATTCAGAATGGCTTGAAACGTCGAGAAAACATAAAATTAGCAATTCGGATTTTTTTATGAAAACATAAATTTCTCCTTCGGAAGTTAAATATGGCCTAGCTCGATCTTACTTTTCATAACACCACCTCGTCAAGCATTGCAACTCTCCGAATCAAGAATCATATCCATTAAAAATGTACTTTCTTTCAAAATAATGGAACTGCTTGTAGCTCGCTTTAAAACTAATTGTAAGTCGGTCACATCCCGTCTCCTCTAAAAAGTTCATATATCCAGTATGGACTCATCTGTGTTTACATTAGGACTGAACGACTGAACATCCACATCCACTTGATCTGGTGTTTATTTATCCTTAAAGTATCGTCTCGCTTGCGCGCGGATCGTGGGCGATATGGGCGTCTCATTTTTTTCGGTGAGTACAGAATACAGTTTACAAACAGAGCGTTCCGCAAGTCAGCGCCTCAGTTCAGTTGACGTTTGCCGTTCAGCGAGGGAAGTCGGCAGGACGCTCTTTACCGATTCGAATCGGCTGCCGAATTCACGTGTCCGCCGGTGTAATGGATATTACGTTGTTTGTGTGAATTTCAGGTGTTTGTGGTGGTTGGATAATTAGTTTTTTTGGTTTTATAATGAGGTGGTGTGAATTGTTCTTGTGATTTTGGATTAGTTACAAATAGTAATACAATATGCGTGTTATGCGATATTCTTTGTGTATAATAGTGGTTATATTATTGCGAATTCAGGGATTTAGTACCCATTATCAAGGTAAATCAATAAAATGATTTATATATATATATATATATATATATATATATATATAGGTATATATATATATATATAATATTTTTGCAGCCCAATCGTCGAATTAAAAAAAAGATTAAATAACAAAATTATTTATTCCATTAAACGTTTCGACACTTGGATGTGTGTCATCATTCAGTAATCAAACCAGGAAAAACAACAGAAAAAATTAATTATGATGTAAAATTGATTGAACACTAAATTTGTGTAAAATAATAAAATACTATTATTTTAACAAACGAGAAATATGTATCAACGTTGACAAAACTATCATATGTATATATATATATATATATATATATATATATTGTTATGTATGGGTATATGTAGTATCTATGTATGTAAGGATACAAATTTTTGTCAACGTTTTCGGGATCACCGCTCAACGGGTTAGTTTTCGGCAAAAGTTGGTCCAGCCGTTTCGGAGATACGGAACGAAGAGTGCAGAAAATGGCAGTCAAGTTTGTGAGAGAACTGATCATCCGATTTGAACGATTCTAAAAGCATTTCACTTGTAATGACGTAATAAAGAATTGATTAGGTTTTTGCAAAGGCAGGTCCAGCAGTTTCGGAGTATTCCACTTGTATCGATGTAATCAAGAATTGATTAGGTTTTTGCAAAGGCAGGTCCAGCGGTTTTGGAGGTCTAGAACAAAGTCATTTGGCGGTGAAAATTGAGATATTTAGTAATTCGAATTAACTGATTTGAATGGTTATAAAAACTTACAAGAAATTTCAAAATTTGCAGAAAAAAAAATCTGTTCACATACACACACACACATACTTTTTCCCAATTCGGTCTCATTCGATTCAGAATGGCTTGAAACGTCGAGAAAACATAAAATTAGCGAATCGGATTTTTTGATGAAAACATAAACTTCTCTTTCGGGAAGTTAAAAAGATAGTTTTTAAAAAAATGTCAATGTCATTTTCAAATTTTCAATATTTAAATTTTTCAAATGTTCTCATAATTTTCAAAAATCTTGAAAAAAAATCAGAATTCTTTAATAAAATCTAATTTTTCTTTTCTGAACTTATAAAAATTTCAAATTGCGGTACGGGAAGTTCCAGCAAATTGTTTTAATGCACGATGCCTTGCACCAATAGTTAGATTATTTATTTGAAAAAGTAATAATTCCTGGCAAACACTTTTTATTTGTCACACATTTATGACTGACATTGCCTTGTATTCTGTATCAACCCTTTCCACTCGCTAATTCCGAGATTTATATGAATTTTGCCGCCGCAGCCCTGGCATCCGAGTGGAAAGTTAATATTAAAAATATTAAATTAGGTTAATTTTTTTCATCTGCCAGTCTATAAAATCGCACATGTCAGACACATATGTCTGAAATGGCTCATGTAGAACTTCCTTCCGTCAGACACATATGACTGACGTGGCGTTCAACATGTTAAAATAGTGTTAAATTAATAAATCTAACACTTTAACCACATCGCAGGTCAGATTTGTGTTTAACTCTCTCCACTGGCGAATTCCGAGATTTATATGAATTCTGCCGCCGAAACGGTTTTAAAACCATTCTATAGAATGTAGCATATTTTCAATAAATTAGTTCATTAATTTAATTGCAATAATATATTGCATTAGTAGATAAGCTAAAAAGTTATCAAATTATTTCATATAAAAGTAATTTTTTTGAAAAGCGAATACTGGAAAGTTTGCTTAACTTGATAGTAACCTAATTTGATTTTATAGTTAATTATTACTAGTTTACCCTTTCCACATGGCTTGTCCCTCAGGGACAAGGTAATTTAGCATATAACTCAGATGTCTCCTTTGAGGCACACGGCATTTTATATAGACAATGATTCACAATCATTGTCGAATACAATAGATCAAGGATGAACAACCCGCGGCCCGTATGCTTCTTGTGGGTTTTTAAATATGCGGCTCGCCAAGCATCTAAAGTTTTTTTTTTTTATTCAACAATATATTTACAACTGTCCTACATAGATATTAAGTAAATCTTTTGGCAATTATATGCAAAAAATGACATCGATATATAAATAGTGAAAAATACACAGTTGCATTTTTCCTTTATAAGAAGTAATATAATGTGACACGAGTAATTACAAGCTGATTAAAGCATCTAAAGTAGAATTTGATTTATTTCACCAACAATATTCCGCCCATCAATAAATTAATTAGTATGTATTCTTTTTTTATTGCAATAATTTATTGAATATTTACATTTTTTAAATGTTGTATTTTTATATTATAATATTTACTACCATATATTCAGCTTTGTAAAATATTGAGTGTGACCCGCCACAAAATTTTAAAATTTAAATACGGCATGTGAACTAAAAAGGTTGCTCATTATAAGACAGTATATTTTTTCATTCTTTTTTTACTATATGATCTTTTTTAAATACGGCACAATTAGTAAATTGGTAAATTCGTAAAAAATAGAGGGACATATTAAATTCGATATCAATAAAAATCTGATATTTTACTTAGACGCCAATTGTAAGTGATTATTTCGACAGGGGAAACAACCCTATATCTTTTTGGAAATTGCTTTAAACAACAACATGCTGAAGAAAATACATTTAGATATATTGTGAATATATGATCTTCAATGTCCTAAAATTCATATCAAACAAATTGCATAACATACACATCATGTAAACATCATGTTTACAGTCGGTACGTTTTCGTCAGAATTCTTTATTCAACTTGGTTGAACCATACTGTCGAAAATGTCGGGAACATTTGTTTGGACAGTATATAAGTCACTTTAAACGTTAAAGATCATGGAAAAGACTGGAAAACACTGGAAACAAAATCTCTATAAAATATCTGGTAATTTTATATGTTTATGTGCTATGATCATTTTGACCACAAAATGGATTTTTTTTTACTTTTTTTTCTAGATCTCCAAAACCCCTCGTCTTGTCTCCTCCAAAATTTAGTCAATTTTTCATTCTGTCAATACATGTGGAATGTGTTTAGAATAATTCAAATTCAAATTTCACACTTTTTACCTGTATCTTCGAAACGGTTGGTCCTGCGTTTGCCAAAATTAGCAAGGCTTCGTATCATTAGGAAACGAATCACTTTTTCAAAAAAAAAAAACAGTTTTATCACGTAAGTAAAAATACACGTGATGTTTGCTGGGGGAGGGGGAGTAATTTTGAATATCACCATGTATGTATCACCAACGAAGATGTCAAAAAATCCTTAAAAACTCGCTCACGTGATTAATGGACGCTCCCTAAGCTATGTCAAAATGTTCAGAAGGCTTTGAGACAAAGATATGCATACATTTTCAATTTTTTGTGAATACTACAACAATATTGCTTTGGATAAACTAAATTATTCCATAAAAAAGTTTTGTGAAAAGAGAATATTTTTAAAGATAGCTAAACTTGATTGTCACTTAATTTGACTTTACATTTAATTAATGATGTTCAAGTTAAACTACCAGTATTTTTCGTTAATTGTATGATTATGTAAAACAAGGATAAGATTCCTGTAACTTGAACACCTTCTATCTCTTATTAAAGGTCTCTGAAAAGAATTTTGAATGGTCATAATTCTTAAATGCGCATGACTCTAATTGACTTTTGTTTAAGTTACATAACTTTAATGCATTCATTTTATGTACCACTTAAATCCAAAACAACTAATCCACATGCATAACTTCAATGCTCGTGACGAAGTTATTTTGCCTTTCTCTGAAACTATTTTTGATTATGGTAGAAATATAAACATCTATAAAATTATATATGAATTCATCATCTAAGTGTATAGACGTTTAATATACTAATTATGTCGTGCAAGTGCTGGTAATTACATGCTGTGAATGTCTAGTTTTTCTTCAATATTTGTGTCGATATAAAAACATGAAAAACGTCAAGAAAACAAAAGTGTTGTGCTCATTGCAGCCAGTTTTTTATGCATATTATTTCATCATTAATATTAACAAAACTTTATTTTATTCCTTTGCTGACTATGTGGTAAGGACTTGATCTAGCAACCACTGCTTCCGGATTAGACACCCATGTCAGCCAGCTTGAAATCAAGCTGTAGTGATATCAAAACTTTACTTGAGATTATAGATCTAAAACATAAATAAACTTGGCCTTTCGGGCGTATTCATCAGAACCAGATCAAAATTCTATTAAAAATTTCATCAGATGGTACATAGTTAATTTTTAGTCATTAATAGGATTCATATCGCCTTGTGGAGTAACTACAGTTTTCATTCTTGATTAAACAAATAATATACGAAAATATTTTATATTCAATATTTTGTCATCATTTATTTGTCAATCAAGTTTTTTTTTCTTTTTTTGTAACTTCCAGTAGGGTAATTTAATGTAACCGTCCAAAAATCGAAAATGAAATTTTTTACATTTCTTCATGTTTTGAAGGTTTCTGAACATTTTGGCATACCTCAGAAAAAATGGATGTGTGTGTGTATGTATGTATGGACACATTTTTTCGTCCACGTTTTCGGGCGCACGTTTCAACCGATTTGAATGGTTCAAAAAACATTCGATTCCTCTTGATAGGGAGATGTGCTGATTAGTTTTTGGCAAAGGCAGGTCCAACCGTTAGGGTGATATGGAACAAAGGTGCAGAAAATAGAAAATGAGTTTTTGAGAGAACAAAGCATCCGATTTGATTGATCTAAAAAACATTCAATTAGTAATGATTGGTAGAAGTGGTTATTAGTTTTTGGCAAAGGCAGGTCCAGCCATTTCGAAGATACAGAGATAAATGTGCAAACAATGGCAGTTTTTAACAGCGTGATTGAATGATTCAGAGAACTTTCTGTTTGTTTTACCAATTTTTTTTTTCAAGAAAAATTTTCTTTGTATATAGAAAATAATTCAAATTTTATTTTTAATTCTGAGTAAAGTTCTAATATACTTTGAACAAATAATTTCAACTTTGCAATTCAGTTAATAAAATTCTTATAAATATTCGACAA